TGATTAATGGAAGGTAAAACTGAACTTTATATTTTTAAACCCGACCCGGACGGTGAACCGGACTACCTTCTGACTCACAGAGTCATCGGGTCAACCGGGTTCGACCACGGGTCAATTGATTCAAACTTAGTTAATGTATTTAATATTTCTAGAGATTATATAGTTTTATAAATATAAAAATAAAATTAATCATACCATGTTTAACAAAATATAAAGTCTAACAATAATAATAGAGTGATTTAAATTTTTAAATCCAACAAAAACCGTTTGAGAATATCCAAAGAATTAAAAACGTTCTTAAAATAATTAAATAGTGAATACACTAAAAGACTAAAACTTTATATTTATTCCAAAAAAAACAATATCAAATGAATTTTGTTAACCCATGCTCGGCCGGTTCAACTAGTTCACCGGATAGCGGGTTAATAGCGTGTTTTTATGGGGTTTTCCGGTTTTAAAATTGGCGGATGTTAATACTAATCCTAAACCGGAGAAGTGTCCGGGTCACGCATTAACCGATCGGACCGGACGGTTCGGATCGGACGTGAAAACACCGGCTTTCATCTTTAAATTCTATTTGGACATGTGGCACTCTCTTAAGTGCTGACGTGTCACTCATATGGAGAGAGTTAGCCAACTTTTATATATATGATTAATCAATCAACTGTGTACAAAAGGAGGCCTTAACGGGTTATTTATAATAAATCATAAGAAAACCCTAGAATATTCTAGAAACACTAAAGATAAAGAATAAAATAAATAATATAATTAAAATATAAATAAACGAGAATTATCCTAATTCTACGCTGCATCAGGTCTCGCCGGCCAAGAAAAGATTCGTCCTCGAATCTTGTATCTGCGCTGCATCAGCTCTCGCAGGCCAAGAAAGATTCGCCCTCGAATCTTCAACAAAGTTTTCAGCATAGGAGATCTTCGCAGATCCATCTTTATCTCCATCTCTTGATTTTTCCCAATTTTTGCACGAATCTCGTCAGACCCGATTTTCGCACGAATCTGGTATGACACGAATTTTGCACGAACACGATTTGACCCAAATTTTGCACGATGAATATCTTGCACAAATTCTGCACAGATTTTCTCGAACGCACCATCGTTGAACACAAAATCTACATGATCAATAACCAAGACATCATCTTCATAGATATCGTAGATAGGACCACCGTAGATTTCTCTATAACTATCTTCAAACAAACTTTCTTCTGCAAAAGGATAAAAGTTACCACTCAACATGATCACCAGAATCGTTCTTCGATTGAGAAATGAAAGAGACGCAGCTCTGATACCAACTGAAGGAGCAGAAGCTTCTAAGGATAGAACTAGAGATCCGTTGATTCCTCGGAATACCGGAAAACTAGGGTTTCTCGGATATGTTGATTCTTCGGAATACCAGAAACGAGAGAACGTGAGGAATTCGTTGATTCTCCGCGAATACCGAATCCTACGTCTTCTTATAATCGTTGAGATCTCTCGAGATCTACCGAAAACAAAGATTAGAGAATACTCTTCTCTGAAAAGCTAAAAGCTCTTTAATTTTATTAATCAATCAACTGTGTACAAAAGGAGGTCTTAACGGCTTATTTATAATAAAACATAAGAAAACCCTAGAATATTCTAGAAACACTAAGGGGGTGTATTGGAATAGGAATTTTAGAAGAGTGTTGTTTTTTCTATAAATCACCTGTTATTCAACTAATGATTTTTAAATGCCTTTCAAAATCCTATGTTATTGGAAATGAAATTTATGTAAAATCATTCAAAATCTTCTAAAATCCCTAGTTATTCAATCAATGATTCGTAAAACTCATATCAAATCTACTGTTATTTAAAAATTACCAAGAATTTTAATAAAAGATTTCTAAAAAGATTGTAGGAGACTTTACATACATTTATAGTTGAAAATAGAGGCCAAGAAAATCACACCTATAGAGGTGGGATTTGAGAGACTTCACATAAATTTTAAAATAACGTTTATGTAAAAAATTGCTGAAAAGTGAAAACAAAAGCCTCCCTGTATCTTCTTCTTCTCCTCCACATGGCTTTGACTACTTCTCTGTTTTCAATGATCGATCATCGATTAGTTCTTTTTTTTTCTTTGTGTCTAAAATTAAAAGTTTGTAAATTATCTAGGGGATTGATTGAAGATTCTAATCCATGAAATTTTTTTGCGGAAGACGACGATGCCATGAGCTTACACATCTTAAAGGAAGACCTTTTCTCTAATTTTTGATCTTCTTCATATTTGAGGATAACAACGACATGTGATTATGAATTGATGATAGATATGGTTGAAACGACCTCCATCGTAAATATGCCAAATTGAAGAAGGAACTAATTAATTTGGGGTTGCGATTCGTTGTGTCAGGTCAGAGCGATTCTCGTAATGCTGCTCGTCACAGATTCTTCACATGAACATCGACGTCCATGATTAAAAAGATGGCTGAGTACATTCTAGTGGTATGGTGGTCATGTAGATAAAGCTTGAGCCATGAATTAAGAGCACAACATGACATATACAAACTTAAGTTCAAGACGGAAGTATTGCTATAAATCAAGAGCTGTTTAATTGTTCATCCGAGAATCTTGTGATTGATTTTCTGTTTTCTCTCTCGAGTCTTTAACGCTGCAGTTTCGTTCCTACTAGCTATAAGAGTGGGGTTGGATGCTTCGCTTAGGCGAATATGTTTGAAAGTTTTAACTACTGCTTGTCCTTTGCTATTGATGGAATTTATGGTGATATTAGCCATCGTGACTTTATGACAATGAGGTGTTTACCTAAGTCCTATCTTTGTCCAAACTTTCCAATAAAGATAATATCATGAGATAATGGAAACCATGTGATCAAGCTGGCACGGAAGATTGATAAGCCACTGAATGTGTATAGAATGAATGAAGAAAGCAGAGGAAGCCAGACGTGAGAGAAGAAGCTTGAAGAAACTAATGTTGGCACGTGTGAATAATGACTCGTAGATAAGAATAGTTTTCTCATTTGTTAGGTTTTATGCATTGTTTGTTGTAAAAAGTGACATATGTGATACTTATGATGGTTCTTCTCATAAACGGTGTATCGATTATTTGATTGTTAATAAGAATACAGTTTTTTACTTAACAAATGATCGACTTGAGATTTTGGAGGTGACGAGAGCAAAATTATCACACACAACACCAATATCATCTATAATGATAAATCTCACCAAATCACTAAACTTTGTTTTTTGTAATTATAGAAAAGTCTATACTTACAATGACAAAGGATTTTGGATTTTGAATTATATCACCTACAATTTCCTTAAATCCTACTAATATTCCTCCAAATCTAAATTCCACCAAATCATACCAAATGTTTAGTCCAATACACCCCCCTAAAGATAAAGACTAAAATAAATAATATAATTAAAATATAAATAAATGAGAATTATCCTAATTCTATGCTGCATCATTATCCAATTGACGAAACTGTGTGTTCAACGTTCTACAACGATAAAATATTTAGACAATGATTCAGAATCATATCATAAATAAGATCAACATTAATAAAATAAATGAGTTTTTGGCCTGACGGGTTTGGCGGGACGGGTTTTTGAATCAACAATAATAAAAAAAATAAAATATCATTAATCCGCCGCTTCAATACGGATTAAATCTTTAATTTTTTTAGTACCACCAATATTAGACAGATTAAATGAATTTCATTTAGAAAAGATTGTATAAAACCAAAAAATTTTCCGTGGTATAATATTATTTAATAAAAATTGTAAACTATAAAATATAAATATCTTAGAAAATGATACAATTTGTAAATTTTTATATATAATAAATAATCGTTAAATTTTAAAAATTACTACTTTTAGAAAACAAATCACGGGACGGGTTAAGAAGTTACAGGACGAGTTATATTTCGGAACGAATTATATGGTGGACGAGTTTGAATCAATATTTATAAAATTTTAACATATCATTAACATGCCGCTTTAATACAGATTAAATCTTCAGTTTATTAAAATATAAATGACTTAGAGAATGATATGATTTGTAAGCTTTTATATATAATAAATAATCATTAAATTTTAAAATAAAAACAAATCACGGGACGGGTTAAGAAATTACGGAACGGGTTATATTTCGGAACGGATTTATATGGCGGACGAATTTGAATCAATATTTATAAATATCATTAACATGCCGCTTTAATACGGGTTAAATCCTCAGTTTATTAACAATTGTCTCGTGGACTCGTGGTATATCGTTACTTAATAACAATTGTAAACTATAATATAAATAAATATTTTCTAAGAAGATACAATTTACAAAAAAAAATTATACTAACTTTAAAAATAAATCATCCAGCGGTGTACCGCAGGTTAAAATCTGGTTAATTAATAGATAAACATCTATGATAATGAAATCTTATATATTAAAGGAGAAGTCGAAAGTGCTTACGTTCGCTCTCAGAATATGAGCAGTCGTTTTTGCCCCCCCCCCCCCTCCTTTAATTAGATTAAATTAGTGAAATTTCCATTTTGTTAATAAAAAAAAATGGAAATTTTAAACAAAGGAAACATACTGTTTTCGTTTCTTTAACCCTAATTCGTTTATTCGCTTATTGGGCTTATATTTTTACGGAAAAAAGCCCGGTATGTTTTACACCATCATATGTAAAACCCTAAAACCTTATGCTGGAAATTCCTATAAATATAGGATTCCTCTCTTGAAAATCAAACATCACGGCTGGCTTTTTATGCATAGCAATTATGGTTTATAGTTCTTTTTTGTACCTCAAATTTGGTCATTTCTATGATGCATCGTCATCAGTTTCTTTTCCTCTTTTTATGTTATGGTCACTTGGAAAGTAAGATCTCAAAGATCTTTGCCAATTTGTGATGAGTTGATTACGCGAGGTTTATATCTTGGTCGATTACATGTTTTGATTTTCGTAGCTGTTTGGTTTTATATGCATGATAATTCTCATATATGTTAAAATATATATATATCATATATGTTAACTGCTTCTGTTTTTAAGGTTTTTGTCTCACCTATTCGGTTTTCAGAAAAACTGTCTCTTTTGTTTTGGTCAAGGATCTTTGGGATTTCTCAAAAAGGTATTGATAATTAAGAAGCAAAGGTACGTATATTAGGTAAGAAATTCGAAGATTTTATGATGTAGAGGATAACCAATGGATTTTTATTTGAAGAATTAAAGTTTTAGAAATAATTTTAGAGGATGTGAAATCCGGTGACCAGGTTATTTTGAAGATGTTCACTTTGATGTCAACTTCGTATGGTGGTGTTCCTCCGGTGCTGGAAGACACCATGGATCAGTCTGGATATGAATCTCCACGATCTTTTGGTAGGATTTGTGTTGTAGTCTATTTGTTATTTTAGATCTGGTATTATTTAATATTAAATTTTATTGTTTTGAAGGATATGTCCAAGATTGTTGACATCGTTGTTTCGTTGATCATCGCCATGTTCCAACAAACATGTCAAGAGCAGTTTGGATGTGTGGAAACCCTAATTTTTTATGAACCGGTTGGATAGGTAATTAATATTTTCATATGGATTTATAATTTAGATTAGGGTTCCAATGTTTCCCTCTTTAAAAGTTTGTAAACGTGGTATTCTTCTCCTTTTAGTCAAGCACACATCATTTCATGAATAAATTCTCCAAAAATATTAGGGTTTGTTTCATTTGGGTATCAAAGGTTTCTTTTGTGATTCTTATTTGGAGGAAGCACTCGAATCCCAAAAGTTCAGTAGATGTTAAAGGATTTCTTCGATGGCAAGGAACCCAACAAAGGAACTAACCCTGATGAGGTTTTGGCCTATACAACCGCCATCCAAGGTGGAGTATTAAGTGGTGAAGGTGGAGAAGAAACGGAAAGTAAGTGACTCTTTTTATTTTTTTAACTCTCTTTATGACAATAGTTTAGACCATCTATAGTGTTTTCATGTTAGTCATTGTATTTGAGTTGCAGAAAACCTAAATTTATTGAAAACAGATATTCTGCTACTTGATGTTGCACCTTTGCGCCTCGGTATTGACACTGTCGGAGGCGTGATGACACACATTATTCCTCGAATCCCAACGAAGAAGTCTCAGGTGTTCACTACTTACCAAGATCAGCAAACTACTGTGACTATCAACGTCTATGAAGAGATAAGCATGACGAAAGATAACCCCGAGCTCGGAAATTTTCACCTCACCGGCCTTCTTCCTGCACCTAGGTAAACTCTCTAATTCAATATTGGCTACTAAACCATTTCGGTTCTTGGTTTTTTAAAGATGCAAGGAACAGTTTTTGGGGTGCCACAAATGGAGGTGACTTTCGAAGTGGACGCAAATGGGATTCTGCAGGTGAACGTCAAAGACAAAGTTCCAAAGACGTCACAGTCAATTACAATAACGAACGATAAAGGTCATTTGATAGGAGAAGAGATTGATGAAATGATTATATTAATTAGCTACGTATGAACTAGACACCGTTATACACATACGAGGACTTATTTGGAGAAGACATCTTCGAATACGTGTACGAATATGAACTTTGGCTGGTATCCGAGTAAGACATGTTGTGCATTGTTTTACTTTTGTTTTTGTTTTGTTATGAGTTGTGCGATATTTTAATAAATAGTTTATTGTCCATTATTAAACGGAGTCCATAATAATTTTTGTGATATAATCTTTGTTTTGATCTTTAGTTTATAAATAAATATAATTTTATTATTGGTCATATTAATTACTAACGATAATAGAATAAATAGTTTATTGAGGAAGTAAACCAAATTTATTTTGATAGTATATCGTAATGACTTAACCTTCCTTTATTATAAGTTTCAACTTTTTTGTGTGTATTTTATAATTTTCCTTTGTAGAGATAACAAGAAATCCATTGGCATATTATCTCTCGCATTATTGTATTGTAATTTTAATTTTAAAATTATTTAATTAACAAATGTATGTTTCTTTTTGTTAAAAAAAAAAAAAATTAATTTGTGTGTAATAGAAATACAGATGGGTTAAAAAACTATTTTGCTCAATTTAGTTCTATTTTATAGGAAATAAAAATAGCAACATCGTAATATCATTATTAAGTAGTAAAACAATTAAACAATTTTAAGTTATATTAATTTTTATAAGGATTATGATAATGCCAAATATAAATGTTAATCTTTATTAAAAATTAGAATCATTTAATAAAAATGTCATTGATAATCATTATCTAAAGATTGACTCTCTTTTTTCCCGTAGATTTGTGTTCACTGATATGAAAAAAAAAACAGAAGAAAAAGGGGTTAACATTCAATGTAAGTTACTTGAGAGGGTTAAAACTTGATGTTACGATGGTAAACATAGAGCATAATACTCTAGCTATAACTTGATGGGTGTGAAAGTTGTATTAGTGCTTCTATCAAGCGTCGTTTTAATAACTTTCATGAGTGTTTTTTGTATTAAATGAAATACAGAAATTCTTAAATACTTCAAAGGAGGATCAAAGTCAAAGTTAACGAGATTTATGTGCATTGCTTCGTTAAATGAGATGGTAGAATTATTCTTCGATCTTAAAGATTTGGTCTTTAAGAATGCACGTATATCATTTGTAGTTTTATATGGGATCATTTGGTAGAATATATTTATCTAAATATAAAAGAAGAATGTTGGAAACTTTTCATTTATCTCGATGATTCCATTCGTACGCGCCTTGAGAAGAATTGAGAAGAAAGGTTTTGTAAAGAATCAGAGAGTTGAAAAAGAAAGAGACAGAGACATGGATAGAAATGGAAAGAGAAACGATATTCAATGTCATGAATGTCAAGGATATGTACATGTCAAAGTTTAGTGTCCCTCCCTAAAGAGAAAAAAACATAAATGCTTTGAGTGCAAAGGTATTATACACTCAAAATTTGACTGTGTGGGTTCTAGATCCAAGAAGAACGAAGATGAAAGCTCTAAAAGTAAAGCAAAAAAATTAATTGAAATGGAGTCAGCTCAACAGATGATGAATCAGACACTGTGAACGATGTGGACATCGATGGACAGTTTAGAATACTGTATGACAACTTTTTCTAACTAAGTAAGGAGAAGGTCTCATGGATGAAAGAAAAGTTAACACTTCAAGATTAGAAGGAGAAGCTCAAAGGAAGCCTAGCTCTGGAAATTAAGAAGAACAGTGAGTTGACTCAAAAGTGTGGTTTGGAGGAGGAAACACATGGAAAGATCATGTGGTGATTTGTAGGGTCGGTAAACAAGTCTTTAAAGCCTCTCGAACGTAGCGAACCGACCGTCGGAAGATAGTGGGCCCATAGGCCGAGAGAGGACGTGGGGCCCATTAAAAGAGGTGGCGGTCGGGGCGTTACACTTAGGATCTAGGAGAGTTGGAAAATCTAATTTTAGATTAGGCTATCATGGAGGTGAGACAAGTGGGAAGACAAATTTTGTTCCAAGATAGGGTGTACATGCACGTCGTTACCAGTATGTATTTCAAAACTACATTGGCGCTGTTCCAGCAAGATGTTTGCCTCAGAATCAGAACCATTATCACAGAGCAGTGACTGGGTATGAATGTTACTCATTTGGTCGTCATGGTCACATATAGATGTACTGCTACACATATGCAGCTAAATTGAAGAAGCTAATGAGACATGGAAGGTTCTATCCACATTAGAGAAGAGAGTATAAAGTATATGTTTGCAAAATGATGTGCGTAGAATTTCACTTTAGAACTTTTACCCGAAAGACTACACGTTAAACTGCAAGTGCACAGTAATCAGAGTAGTATTTAAGGATCGATCCCACAGAGAGTGTAGGGACGACAGTTCTTATATTCTGAATTTATTATGCTTAAGTGAAAATAATCGATATTGAGAATACTAATACTCAGAATGATTAATCCCACAAAGAGTGTAGGTACGTTTTTTTATTTCTACTTTCTATTTGTATGGTTCTAATTAGGCCTGGGCATAAAACCCGAAATCCGAAAACCGATCCGAAACCGATCCGAAAAATCCGGAACCGAATCTGAACCGAATAGTCACAAAATCCGAACGGATAATGAATTCTCCTATCCGAATTACCCGAACCGAACCCGATCCGAACCGAAAACCGAAAGGATATCCGAAAACCGGAAATAAAAATTATATATCCAAAAATATTAGTTATATTTAATTGTAATTTTATAGCAAATAACAAAAATATCCTAAATATCCTAGATTTTGGAAAAAATTTAGTTATATAATTCGTAATCCGAATTAGTATTAAAAAAACATAAACCTATTACTATAACTTAAATTGTGTGAAATATGAAAAAAGAGAGAAAAAAATAAAAGTTATATTTTAGTTTTGTTGTTAAAAATGTAAAAGATATGTGATACCAATGTTTGTATTGAAAATATTGTATAATATGTAATTTTGTCTCATTTTTATATTTTCTAAAATCTTTTTATTGTTTACACAAAACATAAGAATTATGCAACAAGCTGGGAGTATCGCGGCTAAACAACCTAGTTTATTTAAAGAAAAGGTCCAAAGACTCTGAATCATCTAGCGGGTTTTAACTTTTAAAAGCCTCTAGCTCCTCTAGAAGGTTCTATTGTTCCTTCGTAAACGTTTCACTTTCACACACTCATCTGCAAAAAAAAAACAAAAAAAATACAGATGAGATTGACGAAAACAAGCCCTAGCTTAAGCTCCGCCGCCGATTTTCTCACGCCGTTATGATTCGAACAACATTCGCCACCGCCATCGCTCATTTCCACACCCATTCTCATGGAGGAGCTCAAGCTCGTCCTATACAGAACAATACGCGAGAAAAAATCCATTGTCCTGAAGCTTGGTTAGTCAAAATCGTATCTACTTTGTTCGTCTACAGAGTTCCAGATTCAGATCTCTGTTTCTGTTACTTAAGCAAGAATCTGAATCCGTTTATCTCCTTTGAGGTTGTGAAGAAATTGGATAATAATCCTCACATAGGGTTTCGATTTTGGGAGTTTAGTAGATTCAAATTGAATATTCGTCATTCGTTTTGGACTTATAATTTGCTTACGAGATCGCTTTGTAAAGCCGGTATGCACGATTTAGCGGGTCAGATGTTTGAGTGTATGAAGAGTGATGGGATTTCTCCGAATAGTCGGTTATTAGGTTTTTTGGTGTCTTCATTTGCTGAAAAAGGTAAGCTACATTGTGCTACTGCATTGCTTCTACAGTCCTATGAGGTTGAAGGATGTTGTATGGTGGTGAATAGTTTGTTGAATACTTTAGTGAAGTTGGATCGTGTGGAAGATGCGATGAAGCTTTTTGAGGAACATTTGAGATTTCAGTCTTGTAATGATACTAAGACCTTTAACATTTTGATTCGGGGTTTGTGTGGCGTAGGAAAAGCAGAGAAAGCGGTAGAGCTTTTGGGTGGGATGAGTGGTTTTGGTTGTTTACCGGACATTGTTACGTATAATACTCTTATTAAGGGGTTTTGCAAGAGTAATGAGCTAAAGAAAGCAAATGAGATGTTTGACGATGTTAAGTCGAGTAGTGGTTGCTCACCAGATGTTGTTACGTATACGTCGATGATCTCAGGGTACTGCAAAGCTGGAAAGATGCAAGAAGCATCGGTTTTGTTAGATGACATGCTTCGTTTGGGAATATACCCAACTAATGTTACTTTTAATGTTCTCGTGGATGGTTATGCGAAAGCTGGTGAGATGCATACTGCTGAAGAAATTCGTGGGAAAATGATTTCTTTTGGCTGTTTCCCAGACGTTGTGACCTTCACTTCCTTAATTGATGGATATTGTAGAGTAGGACAAGTGAACCAAGGGTTTAGACTTTGGGAAGAAATGAATGCCAGAGGAATGTTTCCTAATGCATTTACCTATTCTATTCTTATCAATGCACTCTGTAAAGAGAATAGGCTTCTCAAGGCTCGTGAACTTTTGGGGCAGTTAGCTAGTAAGGATATTATTCCACAACCATTTATGTACAACCCTGTCATTGATGGGTTTTGTAAAGCTGGAAAGGTCAATGAGGCAATTGTTATTGTGGAAGAGATGGAGAAGAAGAAATGCAAACCAGATAAGATCACATTTACGATTCTTATAATTGGACATTGCATGAAAGGAAGGATGTTTGAAGCAGTCAGCATTTTCCACAAAATGGTGGCAATAGGTTGTTCACCGGATAAGATTACAGTGAGTTCTTTGTTATCTTGTCTTCTTAAGGCCGGTATGGCTAAGGAGGCCTATCACCTAAACCAGATAGCACATAAAGGCCAAATTAATGATGGGGCACCTCTAGAGACGAAAACAGCAAATGTGACTCTGGCTGCCTGCTAGACTTTCGATATAATATCTCTGTGCATTGGCCTTTCTACCACCATACAGTCTCTACACATGTTAGGCGCAGCTGGAAGCAGGGCAAACAAACAGACAAAAACTCACAGTAAGCATCTCTTCACATTCCTTTCAATTGCTCTGGTAGATTCACTAGATCCTAATTCTATTTTGATGACTGAACTAAAGTGTAATTGCATAAATATAACTTTGTAATATGATGCTTATATCACTCTTAGTTAGCCAGTTCGCATTCTGCAGGCTTCTGATGCTTGTTGTGTCAATTTAATCTCTTATTCAGGCTATTCTACT